ACCCTGGACACATGACCGGGTCAGTGGTCAAGCTCTCGGGTCACAGAACTGCTGCGGGAGGCAGAGTGACAACGGTCTGCTTGCGTGCGTCTCTAAGGGCCAGGGTTTCAGCGAAAAAAAAAAAATGAAGAAAATCAGATACAGATCATATTAAAATAAGTCACCTCAAATTATAAAGCACCGCTGAAAAAGATTAAAGAAAACTAAATGGAAAGATGTTCCATGCTCAAGGGTTGGACAACTTCATACCGTTAAAATGTCAATACTATCCAAAGTGATCTACAGATTGAATGCAATCTTGATCGAAATTCTAACAGGTGTCTTTACAGAAATGGAAAAAAGAACAAACCTCAAATTTATATGGAATGGCAAGAGGCCCCAAATAGTTAAAGCAATGTTGAAAGAGAAGTACAAAGTAGGAAGACTCACACTACTGATTTTAAAACATATTATACAACTACAGTAATTAAAACAGCCTGGTATTGGTATAACAATGGACACACAGACCAGTGGAAGAGAATTGAAGGTCCAGAAATAAACCCACACATTTACAGTTAACTGATTTTTGACAAGAGTGCTAAGTCTATTCAATGGGGAAAGAAGAGTCTCTTCAGTAAATGGTACTGGGAAAATTAAATTTCCCCAAGTGGAAAAATGAAATGGGATCCGTGCCTCACACCGCACACAAAAACAAAATCAAAATGGATTAAGGACCTAAATGTGCAAACTGAAACCATAAAATTCTTAGAAGAAAATACACAGTCAACGCTGTCGGGCCCAGCTTTTAACAAGGGGTCATCTAATATAAGAACAAAAGCACAAACCGCCAAAGACAAAACAAATAAATGGAACCTCCTACAAATTAAAAACTTCTGTTCATCAAAAGGCTACCAAAAGAGTGAAAACACAAGTTACTGACTGGGAGAATATCTCTGGAAACCATATATCTGATTATTTATTTATTTAAAAGAAATATTTTATTGTGTTTTAGGTGAAAGTTTACATAGCAAATTAGGTTCCTGTTTAACAATTTTTATACCAAGTGTTCCGGGACATTGGTCACATTTGTCACAGTGTGTCCGCATTCCCATTATTTCCATCGTTTGCTCTGTTTCCATTGATCTCGCTTCCCTGCCCCTCCCTGCCTTCTCATCTTTGCTTTTGGGTAACTGTTGACCCTTTGGTCTCATATAGTTGATTGTATAGGGGAGCACATTACTCATGGGTGATATTGTTTATTTTATAAGCCAATCTATTATTTGGTCTGATAAGGATTTAATAACCAATACATACATATACATATATACATAAAACTTCAACAACCCAACAACAAAAAGACAAATAACCCAATCAAAAAAAAATAGGGAGAAGATAAGGGTGATGGAATAATTTGGAAAAGGACAGTGAGAATAGCAGCACAACTGGAAGAATGTA